TCTAACAGATAAGTACTATTCAAGCTGAGTCCTTTAATTTGTTTCTTGATTATATGGCAATTTGATTCTTAATGCAGCGAATAATAATTCACTTTTAAGCACTGGTACTTTGTTTCCATGGTAACACTGCAAAGTAGCAATTATACCCAATATTTCTTATGGTTTTGGTGTTGCAAGGTCCTAAGGATGTATATTTGCCAGTCTTAAATTTTCATGTTTTTCCTCAAGACAGTAGCATTAACCCAATCTTAGTTACTGGTTTTGCATGGTTACACTATGTTACCATGGCAACCATTAAAGTTATTTATAGAATAATATTGCTTATACTTATATACTTAAGGTCAAACATTTTCATTGTTTTTCTTAAGTCGTTGATTGAGTTTGAGCATGTAACACCTACCATTAGTAAATATGGAGTGTTTTTCAGCATATTTCAGCATTTTAAATGTATTCCAAATGTACCCTTGGTTACCACTTACTTAGAGATATATTCTAAACAGTTTCTTTACAGTATAAGTAACATCAAGGTGTCATGTTTTTGTGAGAATGGTTTGTTTGCTTTTTCTAGTTTTTATTAAGCCACAGTCAAGATTTAAAGTGGCTGAAAATCTCGATTTTTCAAACTTTTCCGGCTGTTGCCATAGCAACCGAGACACTTAGCAACGAAATTTTGTTTGATATTTGTTTCTGGTGTCAAGTACTAAGCATGGGTGAAGTTTCATCAAAATCGGTGACCATGCGTAGCAACGAAGTTTAAGTGGTTACAGAGAATAGTTATTAAAACTTTACAACAGCAATAAATAAAATGATGCTTGATTGAGCTCTTTTTGTGGCAAGATACTGCAATAAGACTACAGCTGCAGAAGTAGCTATTGATAAACTTTTAGAGTATTTACAGTTTTAGTAACCATGGCAACATCATTCCTCGAAATCAAAAATCGATAAAAAGAATTGTGTATCTTAGTGTAGTCTACTCGTGTGCCAAGTTATAATGAAATCAGACCAAAACTGTAGAAGGAGTAGCATATTGAAAGTATTTCACAGAAATTTCTATTTTTAGAAACAAAGGCAACACCGTTCATCGAAATCAAAAATCGATACACAGAATTATGTATCTTAGTGTACTCTACTTGTGTGTCAAGTTATATTGAAATCAGACCAAAACTGTAGGAGTAGCATTTTGAAAGTATTTCACAGAAATTTCTATTTTTAGTAACAAAGGCAACACCGTTCATCAAAATCAAAAATCGATACACAGAATTATGTATCTTAGTGTAGTCTATTTGTGTGCTAAGTTATATTGAAATCAGACCAAAACTGTAGGAGGAGTAGTATTTTGAAAGTATTTCACAGAAATTTCTATTTTTAGTAACCAAAGCAACACCGTTCATCGAAATCAAAAATCGATACACAGAATTATGTATCTTAGTGTAGTCTACTTGTGTGCCAAATTATAATGAAATCAGACCAAAACTGTAGAAGGAGTAGCATTTTGAAAGTATTTCACAGAAATTTCTATTTTTAGTAACTACGGCAACACCGTTCATTGAAATCTAAAATCGATACACAGAATTATGTATCTTAGTGTAGTCTATTTGTGTGCTAAGTTATATTGAAATCAGACCAAAACTGTAGGAGGAGTAGCATTTTGAAAGTATTTCATAGAAATTTCTATTTTTAGTAACCAAAGCAACACCATTCATCGAAATCAAAAATCGATACACAGAATTATGTATCTTAGTGTAGTCTACTTGTGTGCTAAATTATATTCAAATAAGACCAAAACTGTAGGAGGAGTAGCATTTTGAAAGTATTTCACAGAAATTTCTATTTTTAGTAACCAAAGCAACACCATTCATCGAAATCAAAAATCGATGTACAGAATTATGTATCTTAGTGTAGTCTACTTGTGTGCCAAGTTATAATGAAATCAGACCAAAACTGTAGGAGGAGTAGCATTTTGAAAGTATATCACAGAAATTTCTATTTTTAGTAACCACGGCAACACCGTTCATCGAAATCAAAAATCGATATACAGAATTATGTATCTTAGTGTAGTCTACTTGTGTGCCAAGTTATATTGAAATCGGGCCAAAACTGTAGGAGGAGTAGCATTTTGAAAAATTGTTTACAGACAGACAGACGGACAGACGTCGGACGCATTACTATCGCATAAGCTCTTCTGGTCTCTGACCAGTAGAGCTAAAAATAAGGAACTAAAATAAACAAGAGGCCCACGGGCCTTATAGGTCACTTGAGTATCATGTAACAACTTTCCAACAATTGAATTTGGTTTGTATTTTAAACTAGAGGCCATGAAATTCTGAAAGTTTGGAAAGAGGCACCATTGCTTATCCTAATTATAAACTAAGCATGCTTACTCTATTTACGTAATACCCAGAGGTAGATCAGAATAACAAAGAGAAAATGCTCTTCCACTTTATTACCAGTTGTGCACCCCAAAGGAACCACTGACCCTGGGGCCACATACCGGTATTTAAAATATTTGGAAATTTTATCATAAATTTCATTTCATCATAAATGGTTGATTAATACCAAAGAGCAGATATCAAAGCATTAATTTATTTTCAGACTATGTACATGTACCCCCACCTCCTCGATACCCCTGATCCAGGGGGCAGGAAATTAACCATTTTGCTAGATGCACCTTACTTCATCATAAATATATAAACTTGGATCATTAGCATAATACCCAAGAGCAAAGGAAACGATTTTCAAAGAATGAATGTATTTTCAATATATAATCAAAAGAGCCGTCCCCCCTTACATCAAATGGCAAAACCCCTGAAACAAGGGTCAAGAAATTCACAAATTTAAATGAGGCATTATAACTACGAGGGGTTATCAAAAAGTTCGTGGACTGAGGCTATAAAATTAGTACTATGTAGTCTGTGCTTTCAAAATTTATGGGGAACATAAATTAACAAAAAATAAAGAAATATTGAAAATTTCAGCTTGATACGTTCATTATTTGCCAAATTATTATAAAATAAAAACGACATTACATGATCACCCGGCGCTGCCGCCGTTTAGTTTCATGACGTCCGACAACGCGATTGTTTTTCAATGTCCTCTTCTTCTACCTCACACACTTATTTTGATGAGATTCCCTGGAGTTAAGTAAGAACTTAACCCCGTCTTGTTTATATAACTTTACATTGTCATGAGTAGCGGCTTTCAATGGATATGATACTGCAAATTGATTTATACATTTGGAGAGACCCTCGCCTGATTGTGCCATCATATTTTGCTTTTTGGAGTCTAATATCTACCACACATGATCAACGTCATTTTTTGACGTGATTGATTTTTCACACCTTGACTACAAATCGACATTAACTGAGCATCAATCTTCTCTATGAATCTATTTTGGCAGTAAAAAACAAGCACTCTGGATGCATGCTATTTCTCCGTAGCCAGTTTAAACATTTTCTAGGTCTATAAAAGTTTTTTCAGGGGCAAATTTTTATGGAATGTTGGAAAAGGAAACCCCTCACCCCTTTTGACGTCATTTTCAAGACCTTATTTATTTGGACACTGCATGCAAAATTTACGATAAAATGTCATATAACTTCCAGAATGAGGTAGATATTCCATATTTTATGGACCAAGAGTGTCCCAACACATAACTGGATTTACCGGATTGTTGGACGTCAAATGTTCATAACAAAAGAGTTTATCTCAGTTACACATAAGTCGCAAAAACTTCGTGTCCGAGGTTGCGCCGTGTGGACATACCATTACTTACAAAAACATTACTAATTTATTAAAAAATAAAATTGATAATTTGTGGTTTATTCTATAGATAGAAAAGATGATGCTTACTAATCATATTAAAATTCATTGCTGTACCTAAAGCGGTTTTAATTTTATGGCGCTAGTCTACGAACTTTCTGATACCCCCTCGTATATACTAAGTTAGTTTATTTAATACCCAGGAACAGAGAAAACAATTTTGAAAGAATTAATGCATTTTCACAATATAATGAATAGTGCTCCGCCCTAACACTAGAACCCTGACCCTGGGGTCATAAAATTCACAATTTTTGAAAAGGCACTCCTGCTCATCATAACTATGTACTTAGTTAGTTTATTTAATACCCAGGAGCAGCAAAGAAGATTTTCAAAGATTTAATGCATTTTCACTATACAATCAATAGAGCCCCACCCTAGCATTAGAACCCCTGACCTTGGGGTCATGAATTTCACAATTTTGGTAGAGGACTCAATGCTCATTACATTAATTCACACCAGCTGTTTGCCTGCTTAATGTCCAGTAGTAAAGAAGAAGATTTTTAAACATTTCATTAATTTTAGTGATTTTGGCCCCACCCCTCAGGCCCCAGGGGGGCGGGGACCATCAAAATCACAATTTTTGTTCCCCTTCACCCAAAGATGCTATACCAAATTTGGTTGAAATTGGTTTAGTGGTTTCAGAGAAGAAGCTGAAAATGTTCAAATGTTAACACACGACGGACGTCGCACGACGACGGACGATAACGGATAGCAATTGGTCACCTGAGTGACTCAGGTGACCTAAAAAAGGTTAATAAATCGCACTGGTTATGAAACCTATATTTATGACATTCAGGACATTGATCATAATCAGACATGGAGAAAAGCTTTGTTGTATAATTATCATTAATATTATTATTATTATTATTTTCTTAATCTTTTGAGATTAAGAAGGAGTATCCACTGTTTACAGTATTATATGTATGAAATTCCTAAGACATTATGAATCGACAGCAGTTTTTTTTATTATCTACCCATTTTAAAAAGATTTTTGCAGTTAACGTACATTTATCTTATATTTTAATGATGTTCAGACTAAAGAAAATGCATAAAAGCAACTTTCATGCGGTGAAGTTAGGTAATCTCAAAAATAGGTCGTATAATTGAATCATAGATAAACTGTACAAATATGCAGTCATATGAGTTCTATTATGGGTAGTTCAACGAAGCTTTGGACATCGATATTCCGAGAAATAGCTGTGATAAACGTAAGCGATAGGATTGATCTAAATAAACATTTCATCAGAAAGAAATTTTCTTTGAAACGGGAAAGGTTTACTTTGTTGGTGTCTTCATAATAAGTTGTTTTTGTTATTTGCAAAAGCAATAATATTTTATTCATTTATTTATCCACTTTTCAGAAAGAAAGATGAAGACATTCTTGTTGTTTGCATTTATACTATCCGTAAGTACTATGTTATCAAATTAAAAGTCAATTTTAATAGCAACATTAACTCATATTTCTGAAAGAATGTAATAAAAAATAAAATGTTATTATTTCTATATTTAAGAACTCAACTTTTGTTTGTTTGTTGTATGTTGTTTATCCCACCTCTCGAGAATTTTTCACCCATATGGAGACGCCACCACTTGCCGGGTGGAGAGGTGCAAATTTCGTGCTATGGTCGGTTCTTACGGCCATTGAGCAGGGAGAGATCTTTTTCGTCCAGGACCTACTGTGACACGGGATCTCGGTATAGACGTATACGGTCACATCCGAAGGACCGGTCTCTGCATCCCACGGTGGGATTCGAAACCGCGACGTAAGCTAGGATCAACTCCTTACTCCGCTAATCTAGAGCAGACGCTCTAACCACTGCGCCACGCGGCCGACCTCAACGTTTGAAATACTATGCTAGATGAGAATCAGTTTGCTTTACATGTATTTGATTTTAGTAGATATTATTGTTTACGAAACAAAGTAAAATACTATACATAGAAATATAGTACTTTAGCATGTTTCGAGTTTTTATTATGCATGTAAATTGAATTAAAGCATTTTAAATCTTAAAGACAATTTTTTATTACTGTCATAAGAAAGGACTTTCTAAAGTCACCTTAAAATTAAAAAAGACGGTTCTTTGTTATCTTAAGCTTATTATTGCATTTATTGAAGTGGTTCAAATAAGAATTGTGAACTTACAAAATGTATGAACTCGATGTTTAGAATTTTTTGAAATATGGTGGTGAAAAAATTAAGAAAATGATACATCGAACATATTTCAGAATTTATACCTGACTTTTGCGGACTGGGAGCATCCAAACTATAGCTACAGTAAGTTTTCTTATCTTTTGATTTCGAATTTTTAAATGTTCAGAATCTTTTCCTTGCTTCCTTAAGTTTCAGTATTTTATTGTAACATTCAAAAAAAAAAAAAAAAAAACCAAATTTTTTTCATTACCATAATTGACCTGACTAAATACCTGTAAATGTCTGGGTTCATAAAAGATTTGATTTATGAGTAAAATTATTTAATCTTAGAGTTGTGAGTTATATTCATGTGGTTGGCTCAATTCAGAATAATTGCGGATTCCTTTTCTTCTATTTCGGCATGATTTAAATGCATTTTACGATTTTAACTCTTGTAAGCTCATCTTAATCAAAAGTTCAAGTGAGCTTTTATGACAAAATTTTGTTCGTTGTCTATTGCTGTTATCGTTGTCGATGTTGAAAACGTGGTCCTTAACTTATTACAATTTCATCTTTTTCTCCAGAACCACAGGGAAAATAAAAACCAAGCATTGCACAGAGTATTCTTGGGAAAAGTTAATTATTATTTGTTCAAATAAAAGGCGATTTTCTCTACCAGGTAGAATTTTTTTTAAAAATTCTGGTAATGGTGATTTAAAAAATCTTTCCAAGAACCATTGTGCTAGAAAAGATGAAACTTATGTAAATGTTTCCGGGAAAATGTGGTTTCTAAGTTGTTCAAATTTAAATGCACCCTGGGGATTATATACCGCCGATACATTAAATTAGTGTCGGATTTAAGTGACAAAAGGGTTTGTGGCTTAATCGGAGCCACTGTTTTACTACATTGTATATCTTATTCTTAGACTATTTCTTATTATTCCAAACTTCACTTTGCCTTATCATGCCAAAATTAAATTCATGATATGCAATTATCTTTTTGTAATGTGTTTTTGTCATTTATGATGTGCTTGTATGGTTTTATGATGTGCTTTTGTCAATATGGGGTGTACAAAGGTCAATACGTGTTGTGCTTTTATCATTATGTGATGGCATTTATCAACGTGTGATGTACTTATGTCACTATGTGGTTCGCTCTTGTCACTACGTGATATGCTTTTATCGTTATGTGATGTGTTTTTATCATTATATGATGTGCTTTTATCATTATGCGATGTGCTTTTATCATTATGTGATGTGCTTTTGTCTGTATGTGATGTGTCTTTTTTTCATAAGATCATGTACTAATAGCCATTACGTCGTGTTCTTTTCGTGATCTTTAAGTTTTATAATATTTATTGTTAATGTTGGCATCATCTTTTTTCCTTATACTATGTATAACAATGTATTACTCAAAAACTTATGGAGAGGGCTTATATATGCTATGCCTGCTGCCCAATCCATTTATGTATTTGCATAATAAAATATGTTCAAATCAAATTACTCAAAAATAATCGAACATGGATTTATTGTTTGAAATATTCCTCTTATACATGTACTATATTTTAATTTAAATAAACCCTAAAACAAATATTTTGGTTTTGAGTATATTGAATTTAATTTCTCCCAGAGTGAAATTCTTTCCTATTCGTAGTATCTGCCTATATACTACAAAAGCAGATCCAGGAATTTAAAGGGGAATTCCATCCTACTCAAGAAAATAAATCCCAGATTTTATTTTTGACAAGTATAGGGGAAAATTAAACTTTTTGAAACATGAAACCTATTTGAAGAGTGGATTGGCTGAGGTATATTAAACTAGAAAAAAAAACTTACTGGAAAAAAAAATTAACCAGCAAGAAAAGAGGGATGTCAAACTCGAAAAAATATATTTCTTGGATGGGGAGGGGGGCATATTTCTATTTGTTCCAATTTTTTTTATTCACAAACTACTACATTGCCCTTATTTATTATTATTGACTATATATAATGCACAAAAAGTGTGGTGATGATGGTGGTGGTGTTCAAAAGTAAAACTTTGTGATTGGGAAAAAGTGATGCTAAGTCCATGAAATTAAATTTTCGAATATGATGCTGTTTTTTCTCAATTATATATCTATGACTGAATTTTTTTAACATCCATTGTTTTAAATGTAAAAGGAAAATGTTTCAATCACGATAAACCTTGCGCATCACGCAAAGATATTTGCACCACACATGAATGTATTTGGCTTTTGAAAATACACGATATAATGAAATAGGCACTTCACATAATGACAAATGCGCACCACATAATTACTTAATCACGTCACATAATGACAAAAGCACACCAAAAAATGATAAATGCACATCATAAATTCAATTTTCTCATGATAAGACAGTCCAGGGGTTTCATACGCATGCATTAAAAATAATGTTGAAGAGTATTTCATGAAAATTTGGCTGCCTTTGTGCAAAGATAAAGACAAAAAAGATTAATCATTCTTTTTCAAGGATGTTTGGAAAACGGTGATGTGGAATTCTTTGGAGTGCATGAGAAAAGTACCATAAAAGTTGAGACGACGGAAAGTGAATGCAATTGCACTTATGATCAAACTTCCCATGTCTACTTGATTAAGTCATGTTTGGTATGCATTTACATTTATGTTTTATTTCAATATTATGACTTTTTTTCTTATCATTTTTACTTATAAATCAAACTTCACACGTTTGTTTTTTTCTTTGATTTTTCTTTTTAAAGACAAATCATTATAATGCCACTATCAGTGTTTACGACTATGATTTTGATGGCGTGTCAGAGCCCCCTCCTGCTACAGATAGTAGCAGTGCCTCTAATATAATTGGAGGACACCGTGGACATCAATTTGTTATCACTTGCGAAGATATTCCACCCGAGGGAATCAATAAAACGGTGGCACATGTGTTTCAAGGAAGGCAAATATATTTTTTTTCTTGACTTTTCTAACGATTTTGTTTGGTTAATGTTTTTTCAATTATTTGTTGCATTGAAGTGAAATATATTTACAACTTTAACATGATTCAAATCCTTAAGTTGACGATGAAAGCGTTGTTACAACGCGAAATGTAATAACAACGCGAAATGTAATAAACATGGATTATCACATTTTGCGTTATTACATTTTGCGTCGAAATCAACGCAAAATGTAACAACACACTTTTGAGGGTTATTACATTTCGCGTTATTACATTTTGCGTCGAGATCAACGCAATATGTAATAACGCAAAATGTAATAACACGATTTTTGGATTATTACATTTTGCGTTGTTACATTTTGCGTCGAGATTAAGCAAAAAGCAAGAACGCAAAATGTAATAACACACTCTTTGGTCAGCCAGATTGAGTACAATTTTTAATAGAGTAGTGGCCGATGAAGAGAAAATAAAACAAAATGGAGAAAAAAACAGATATAGATCTATGCAATTTCTTACGATTAATGAATTTCATAATATATTGATTTAATAAGCTACATGTATTTAAAATCAGTTTAGTAAATGTATTCAAACAATAGGTGTTGCAAATTAGAAACGCGCGTGTGTAGATGGGATTGTTGGGGTATTGACCAGTGTACTTTTGTTTTTTTTTTTCTTCTTTTTTTTATATAGACAAATGCAATGAATCTAAAAGAAAACCTATTTATTTGTACTAGCAGGTGTAAATATATATCGGAAGGGGTTTATTGACAATTGTGATACCATACTGTTCCATACAAATCAACAGCATTGCAGACATCCAAAAACACCCCCCTCTCTTTCTCTCCATCTTATAATATAATGGATTGATTCTGCATGTCCATAGTAATACAATGATAAACATACTAAGTTAACACTCCACTCTATCCCTGTCCTTCCTCGCTTGACACACACATACACTTCTTTGTTAACCAATGTACACATGCCAAACATGCATATCAAGAGTTAATAATGAACCTATGGTAATTAAATAAATTTTGTGTTATTGGTTAGAAATTTAATAAGACTATCAAAAATATGCCAATCAAAGTTAAATTAATGCTTTATAATTTAGCACAGTGTATTCAATATAACTGAAGTCAGAGTCAGAAAAACGATACATTTTGATGTATTTATGTCCGTAAAAACCCTAACGTTGGTCTCATTGTTTAAGTTCTAAATATTTTGTACAGCGTGTCTCCCATGTTGGTTTTATGTATATTTTGAATAAATTTTATGATTTTTTTTTTTGTTAAACGCAATCAAAAAAAATAATTGTATTTTGTTTTATTACATATTGTATTATTACATTTTGCGTTGTTTTCAGTGCAAAAATAAAATAACGCAAAATGTAACAACGAAAAAGCACATTATTACATTTTGCGTTGATCTCGACGCAAAATGTAATAACGCAAAACGTAATAATCTAGGGTTATTACATTTCGCGTTGTTATTCCATTTCGCGTTGTAACAAAGCGTATTTGGTAAAATATGGGTTTATTATATAAAAAATGATTTTTGAATATATCAATTGCCTTAGTCTTTCTGAACAAAGGTTGTGATTATATTTAAATGACTATAATTTTTTTTTTTTGGTTTTAAGAAAAATTCAACCCATTCTATAGGAATACGAAATTTCTATTTAAAAATGTCCCTACAAAAACACGTTAATTTATACTACACTGACACTGTGCATGACGGTAAAAAATATATTTAGACTGCATAACGTTGCAGTTAACTCGTTTATTATCCTAAAACACAATGTTTCAAGAAAACACTTCCGTTGTTTTTTATACCTCTACTGATTTTTCCCTAAACAAAATTAAGTGATTAGATCTGAAAAATTCCCTAGAAATCGCTGTGAATCGGCTAATCCTCGTGCGTTAGTTTTTGAGCTAATCCCTCCGTTGAAAGCTAGTCATGCTGATCCTCGAGCGTTAGTTTTTTTTTTGTTTTTTTTTAGCTAAGCCTTCCGTCGAAAGCTAATTCGCGGTTATCCGTAATCGTCTAGTTAAAAAAAAAAACAAAATGTGATTTCATTTAGTTATTAGAATAATGATTACTTAAACTGTAAATGAATATTTTTTCTAAAAGGCGATCTTTACAATTTGTATCGGTATAATAAAACAGTTTTTGAAAAAGTATATCATTGCGGGAATTAGCAAGATTCCAGTTCCCCTCTGCCAGGACTATTTCCCTTGGCTTTGCCTTGGGAAATAGCCCTGGTCTTGGGAATCTGGAATCTTGCTAACTCCCTCAATGATATTCTTTAACTGTATACTATAACCCTGTAGCCACAGGGAAAAGTTTTCTGTATAAGTTGTGATTCCCTGCTACTTTTGATGGACGCGTACGGAACACGATATACATGTAGTGTTCGTATTTAGTGTGTGTATATCAGTTACTTTTCAGTATACATGTATCTTAGCAATAAAAACAAGGAAGACAGCCACTTTAAGAGACGGATATCATGGCTTATCTAATTTTACCTGCAAATGAAGAAAGTAAATGCAGTCGTGAACATCCATTGATAGCATTCTCCAGGATATTTCACAGATTAAAATAACTGATACACATACGAGCATTAGCGAATATGTGTATGAGCATTGGAGTTTTTTATGCTTGCTTACCATATTAAAACCTGGGAACCTCGAATATGTTAGACTGTAATGCAGAATATCATCTGGGAGGTATCAGAGTGGGTTGCAAAATATTTAAATTGTATGAAGTTGTACAGAGTTGTACAGTGTTCAATACTGGTCGGTTTTATGCACAATTCAACAAGAAAAAAATTGAAAGATGACTCTATAGATTAATATAAGCATTTGTGAAATGGGTTAATTATATCATATATTAAAAAACATCAATACATCATCAAAAGGGGAATGCACTTTTAAACATAATATTATAGAGAGCGTAGAATAATTATGTTAAAGGAACAAAATGTAGATATTTAGTTTTTTACATATCAAATATCAAGAAAATAAGGAAATTTATATTCCTTAAAAAAAAAACAACGGTGTTTCTTTTAAGATATTGCTTATTTATAATCACCACGATAAATTACAGGCTTTTAATATCACAGACAGCTACTTTTTCAATAAAAGATGAAACTCGTAAAGAGCCATAGCTGCCTTACCGACGACTCGGCCTACTCGAGTATTTAAAAGGAAATCACCTGTTTCTATTTATAGATACATGTACCTTGTATCAAAATCAAACTACAAGTATACATAATCATTTGTGAACCAGCGTTATATTTTCATAGTTGCAAGTTTGTTGCATGACAGTAATTTTACTTGTCCAATACTCTTATTCTAAACAAGATTGTTTGTAAATTTTAAAAATAAAACAGGCTAGAAGCTATGACTTTGGGTCATTAAAATAGTTTAAGACTGTTTTTCCCCAAGACATTTTCAATGTGTAATGTTGTATTATATATCTCTTTTAAAAATTATTTAAATATGTATGTATTATAAAATACATGTACATAATAAAAGAAAACATAGGAAAATGCACACAGAGAAAAAAAATAAAATCGTTGTTAAGTTTACACGCGCTGTGAGACTCGAACTCACGATCATTATTATTTCTTCAATCCAGCAATCATACCACTACGCCACGAAGAATTAATATTCTTATGAATAAAATTAAGACATATTGTTTAATTTTGAAATAATTTTAGAAGAAAAATTAAATACATATTTTCAACATTTTCAATATGAAGACCACCTTTAACCAAAATTATCTAAACATAATGAAGTGCAGTCATATCCAAATAAAATTATTCAGAAGTTGTTTCTCTGGTTAAGGGTGGTCTTTTCCTACAGTTTGTCATTGTTTAGGGAGGTACCTCAGTATTTGCTATATTCTCCATATAAACTGAACGATTTTTATAACTATCATAAGAGGGAAATGTTAATAATTGAGTATTATTTTTATGTGAGTTGCTTTAAGCCATGTATAAACTAACATTGTTTGACAAAATTTTGGTTAAACAAAGTATTTAAAAAATCACTACTATAGAGTAGGCGAAAGTGACTATCAAATGCGCTATGGCTCTTTCCTTGCATTGTCAATGGTAATTTAAAATATTTTGTTAAAACATTAAATCTAATTGTACTCAGAAGTTGTCCGAAGTTGATTGAATTTCCTTGAATTTCTGATTGAAAAATGAATATCTAGATGTTGTTTTTGATAAGTGCCAAGAATCAAAAACTTGATGCAAATAGATAAAAGCTTGTAAATGTGGAGAAAGTAAATGTATATTTTGATGGTTAAACCAGAGTAAACTCTACATTTCTTATTCGTTGTCCGTGTACCTGTTTAGCTGTCTGCCTAGATGTCCTTCTGTCATTCTATCCCACTTCTTACGAATACCAAGTGGTTCTTTTACGATGATTCAGCTACGTATAATATTGTCTATAAATGTGTTTATTGCTTTGAATATACGAAACGATCTTAAAATTGCTATCTGGCGATATATGTTTAAGATAAACATAAATATTCTTCAGTGTTTATAATCAACTTCCAAACAACTACAAAGAAGTCGCTTCAGTTGAGATGCGTTTTAAAGCAGTCAACAATATGAAAGCTCCTGACATCAACACGGTCTACATAGGAGATGAATTCTACATGTTCATCAAATATATGGGAGGTGAGGAAATAATGCCTTATTTGTTTTTTCAAATCTATTAATAACGTCAAGGTTTTGTCGATGGTACATTAAGATACCAGTACTTAATTATTATGGGGACTAATAATCAAATTCATCAATTAAAAGAAACCTTCCTTTTGTACAATACTGATATATTTATTTTTATCTGACTTAAGTTCATAAGAAACCGGTAATGTACATGAAACATATGGAGATATAACGAAGAGTATTTTAGATCAAAATTCAATAAACAATACAAAATAGGAGCAGAGCAAACACGGACCTCCAAAACATCAGAGGTGGGATCAGATGCCATGCTAGTGGTCGTAATTATACATGTAATATGGCGAGTCTTTTAACGCCTGGTGAATAGCTTTGGTATGTGCCTTACGCCCAGCAACTCCTATGTCCTTGGTCCTTGGATTTTTCCTTTTTTACTTGAAATAAGACAAAGTTGGGGTTAAATAGAGTTTATATTCTCGTGTCCCGAGTATAACTGACGCGAGGGAGACGGGAAAACAAACTTAAACCTCCAATCGGTCCTTTTACAGGTCACTCAAGGGGAAAATTATATTTGAAACATTAGAATGACATCATCTTCTGTTCTTTTGACACTTTCTATTTTTTTCAAGGCCCACAACAGTCCAATAATTTACCTGATACTGTCAAATAAGTTTAGTATTTAGTAAGACAGTATTTAAGGTCTTATTGGATGGCTACAGGTAATTTATTGGATTAAGAAAACACAATACAAGAAAGATATGGAGATAACGAACAGTAATCAATCTCAAAGTCAATTACACAATATACAAAATAAGAGCAGAGCAAACACGGACCTCCGAAACATCAGAGGTGGGATCAGGTGCCATGGAGGAATGAGCATCCCCTGCCGACCGGTCACACCCGCCGTGTGCTCGTTGTTATGATCAGGACATAACGGGAAAAAAATCCGTCGTCAATTCAGTGTATAAATAATGCACTATAACAATTGGTATGAAAAACGTCAGTCAGCATTTGACCCAATGATAAATTGTATTTGCTGACAAGGTCATTGTACACAGGCAACTTAGCCACATATGATCCAAATATGATCCACATATGAGTATCATATGATTGGTTTCATATGAGAATCATAGAAAAAGGGCATCATATGAGAATCATATGAAGCAAATCATATGATTTACATATGATCCACATATTTGAATCGTATGAAAATAACTTCATATGATTTTCATATGAATTGTTTATGTGTGTCAAGCCATTTACATATGAGAATCATATAAAAAGGGTATCATATGTAAATCATATGAAACACTTGTGTGTGTTCTCTTTCGATATTTTTCACATTCTTGTACACATATAAAAATCAGATATTTCTGCTTTAGATGAAAATTCATTACATTACAATGATCTATCTTCATTGGTTAAATATTTTAAAATATCTTATATTAATGATTATACAACTTTTTTGATAATTTTTTTTTCATCAAAAGAAATAACTTATTTTTCACAGTGTACATTCAAAACAAGAAAATATACAAACAAGTCAGTAACATTTGTCGATACATGTATTTAACATATTCTTAAATGAGTACAATTAAATTGTAAGATTTCAGCAAAATGATTTAGTAGTTAAACATGTATATGTGTACAAATGAATAACACAATTAGGTCATGTACTTGTATAAAAATATCATATGACATGAAAGTGTCCACAGGCAAAATTGAAATATCAGCAATAACATTTGTCATGTATTCTCTATTGTAAATTTATGAAAAATCAAGTTATGTCGACAAAATAGATTAAGAATGATTGGCAGTTTTTGTCATGGCTTTATTGATTAATAGTCAAATCAATCATCAATAGACAAAATCAATAATCAATGGTCAAATCAATAGTCAAATCAATCATCAATACAATGAATACAATGATGTACACAAGGTATCTCTACAATGATGTACATAAAGTATCAATTCAATGATGTACACAAAGTGTATATTGAATAAATTAATACACAATGGGTACAATGATATTCAATGATAAACAATGACATTCAATCAATTATGTACGCAAAGTGTATACATGTATTTACACAATGGGTACAATGATATTCAATGATAGGCAATGATATTCAATGATAGGCAATGATATTCAATGATACACTAATATTCAATGATACACAATGATATTCAATGATATGAATTGCAATGAGCACGTAGCAATGTATTACAAAGACAATGGTCTACGTCGACTTTATCAATAGTATATGACGTAGAATCAATATAGCAATGGCACAATGACGGAAGCTCAATTATTGGCCACTGGCCCTGGAAGATACTCAGTAACAGGATCAGCAGCGAGCTTCTAGCAAAATTCGATTCAGCCATAAAAAAACAGCCTGTAAGAAGACCATGTATCCTGCAGTTCAATGAGACCTAGGAAAAGCCATGACGCTAACGGGTTCTTCTGCTGGTAACCAAGGGAACGGATGTAATGGATTCTGCCGCTGGTAGCCGAAGGAATGGAAGAAATGGATTCTTCTGCTTGTGGTCAAGGGAATTGATGTAAGGATTCTTCTGCTGGTAACCAACGGAACGGATGTAATGGATTCTACCGGTGGTACCCAAGGGAACGGAAAAAATGGACTCTTCTGGTTGTGTTCAAGGAAATGGATGTAACTAGAGCCATAAAAAATGAATTTTGAACATGAATGGATCAAGTCTCCATTTTTCGTCAAGGCTTAAATTATAGAGACGTAAATGTGAAATCTTTCATTTTTCCAAAGAAATGGAATCTGTACCTATTTTATATGAAAATGGAACTTTTCTGAAAAATACAAGCTTCAACAAACCCGTTCATTTAAATCACACTTACAGACATCGATAACGCATATACTTCGTTGCTTAGTGGTCGGTCTTGTGCCAAACCCTGCACTATGGAGAGAGTTCGAATCATACGTTCTTTTTGTTTTAACATAGCTTTAAACATGTTAAAACATGAATGAAAAAATGAATTATTAAAACAATGAAATACAGAATTAAATGAGTAAAAGACTATATAAACCATATGATTTTGAAAAATATAGCTTTCATGAACTTTTAGAATTGAGAAATGACTTCTCAGAGCGGGGGATTGACATCGCCTTGTGCGCCTCCATTCTTTACTGTAGTTTACTATAGTAAACTTAATTTCGGGGCCCCCTAGGTCATTGTTGGGATGGGCAATTTTTATTATTAGTAAAATGCATTCATGGAAAATTTCTTTTTATATGCTCTTTGGTATTAATAAGAATCTTTTGTAATAAAAAGTGGGGAAAAAATTATTAGAATTTAATTTATGAGTTGTTGCTGAATTCTAGACTATTTATTCTTCTTGATCCTGACTATCCTGTAGATCTTATTATCGGGCAACATAGCTTCATGTACTGTTTTATATTATTCTCTATGGATCCTTATAATTGTGTTAAACTCAGGCATCAGTTAAGTCCATTGGGTCCTCCCTTTTTTCTATTTAGGGGTTCAGAACATTTAAGTTATTTTATTTTCTGTAGAGGAAGATTACACCGTAATTCCCGAGGAGTGTAATGCCTACGATGAGCCTTGGATTGAAAAAGGACTAGTACCAAAAACTTCCAGTCCCCATAGGGTGGAGTTGTGGAATGTTAATGGGTAAGTTATAAATATATGATTATGGTATACCTTTATGAGTGAGGGTTATTGTAGGTACAGGTATGAAGAATTATAAGGGTGAATTTTAAGAAATGCCCGTCAGAGTTGATGTTTTAAAAAAAAGTATATTGTTCTTAAGATCAACAAACCATTAAAACATACATTCAATTATAACTATGGCATATGTCAAACGTTGCAATATGCGATCTTTTTCATGTTTAAGTATAATTTTATTTTGTATACTTTTCCACTTGAATTATAAATTTCCCATCTGTTTTGCATAATTTTTATTTGTAGTATAAATTTATCCATTTGTATTGTATAATTTTCCATTTGAATTGTATAATTTTAAATTTGTATTCTGAATTTTCTATTTGTACTGTTAAAAACCATTTGAATTGTAATTTTTCAATTGCATTCTATTTTTCCGATTGCATTGTATAATCAATTATTTGTATTGTAAAATCTCTATTTGTATTCGATAATTTTTCATTTGTATTGTATCCAAGGATTGGTTGTTTATTTTGTTAGGAGGGATTTCATTGGTCAGGTTTTAATCTTTTTGTAGTATACTATTCAAAGAAGCAAGATATAGGCTCCTTTACGTATTTGCATGGATGCTATTTGCTTGATTTCTAAAGTACTTCCCGGGGCCTTGTCGAATTAGATTATTATTCCTGTGCTCATCAGTATGGAAGGGAATTACCGCCAAAAGTCTATGTATCCTGCATTTATTCTTATTCTGCCTACTTCTTTATGCTTTGTTATTATTGTAATTATATGTCACTTTACTGTATTCATATTCGTCTTTATTACAATTCACTTCGAACTTTTATCATTCTTCATTTTGTCCTTACTTCTATTTTGCTTTATTCTTGTTAATTCATTCTACTTTCTTTTAAACTTATACAGTTTCTTAAATAAATTATTAGGATTTTCTCTACTACGAATGTTATTTCAATCACGCAAACAATTAAAAGCATATTCAATGTTGTCAAACCGTCAAAATTTAGTGCGGCATTATAACGCTAGGTGGTGTGGTGTTCGATACGAGTGTTGGTAAAATTAGGTAAGCAAACCCGGGTCGGTTTATTTGAGATTCTTCAATAGTCCTTAGTACTTTATCAATCGAATTCTGAAGGCCGGATCCGATCACCCGTTCCAATGATGGAAACTCCCTATTTATTTGTCTGGGCACACAGGAATAGCGGCCTCTTTTTTTCAGACATAATTTTATACTATACTGAATATGTTCATTGAAAGACCGACCCACTTTTTGTAAGAGTAAGGGTCAAATAAGTAATCGTAGTACGTATAGTAGGAAGAAAATTTAAATTTGATTCTATAGATGAAGTTGAATCTAACCCAAAACCCACCCCGCCCCCGAAAAAGGATTTCAATGGCGTCGGAAGCAAATTGAAAGTTGGGGGGGGGGGGGAGGGGACTAAGTGTAACAATTTTTAATAAGGTCACACGCAACGTAATTTGAAGTTTTTTGGATTCTTCCCTGGAGTTGAAGAGTTCAACTAAATGAAGGACCTGTGTGCAATATTTTCATTCTCTACATATGGATTTGTATACTTCTTCTGAAACAATTTTTGATGAAAAAAAATCTGGAATTCATGTTTTATAATTTTTGTGCATTTTTATTTGAATAATGCAAAAATTTTCAAAATTCGATACTCTCTTTTCAAAACCCCTGGTCGCATGCTGATTTTTTTGTCTAAGAACTTGTAATGATATTATAAGTTTAAGAAAATTACGTTGCGAATGTCTTTAAACCTTAAGAAAAACCCACAAAAAGCCAAAAAAAAAAATGAAATGTCCATTTTCCAAACACAAAAATCCTATTTCGTGTGGCCCTCGTGTGTATGTGTGTGTGTGTGTGAGGGAGGGTGTGTGTGTGTGTGTGTGGAGGGGGGTGTAGGTTCGAACTCTGGTGCCAAAGTTTTTTTCTAAACACCACCACTTTCCCCATTTTAAACCTATACTGCATCGTGTCCATGAAGAGTGGGGGTGGGGGGAGGGGGCTGGCTAAGCCTACACATGAATGTTCAATGTCAATACTAAGTCCATCTTTGTTTTAAAAAAAAGTGGAGGCTAAGCCCCTCCCCTTCCCCAGTTCCGACCCCTTTGTATTTTCGAGTTTGGACAATTTCCTGGGTCTTTTTTTGCGCTTGTCAAGTTGTTTTCAGCCGGGTAGCTTGAATATATATATTGTCATGTTGCCCCCCTCCCCACTTTCAAAAACTGAAAAATATAACTCTATGAAATTTATTTGCTGGATAATTGAATTCCACTTTAGTTGATATAAAAATGTTAAATATTTTGATACTAGTTAACCCTTATAAATTGGGTTGTTTTTCAGAACCTTCCACTGAACTGAACTTTATTTCACGACAGATAGTAACTGCTCATGCGCGTGATTCTAGAGACAGGGCTTTGCAAAGGAGTGAGAAGCGTTATGGGTAGGCAGGCGCTGATCCATAATTTTTTTCCGGGGGTGGGGGGAGGGGGTGGGCAAACCATTCCAAAAAAAAAATCCAATTCCAGGAATTTCTTGACAAGCATAAAAAAATTAGAAAAAAAATTGTAAACTCGCCCAAACGACAAAATTTTATTTCGTGTGTGTGTTGGTGGGGGGGGGGGGTAACTTTTTTTCCTTGCTTTAGTAACCTTAAATTGTTAATTCCAGGGGGTCCTAAACCCCTCTCTAAATCTGGACATGGTAGGCGAATTCGGAACCAGGCTACATGCACCCAGACATACTAGAAACTCCCCGGTCTTTTTTCTGCGTTAATATTTTATATTAAAATATCACTTTTCAATAAAGAAAGAACTATCTTTAGTATGCACCGTATTTGTCATCAGCCATTATTGGGACGTATTAATCGACTCCTTACTACTGTACTTCTAAAGCAGACGCCGTAACCATAGTGCCACGAGGGAAGCTACAACTAAGGGGGGGGGGGGGAGTCATTATCCATATGTACGATATATATACGTATATGTAGATTATCTATGTTTAACTAATGGTTAAATTGATTTCATTATAAAACACTATTAAAATGATATTATTCAAATATTTATTCATATAGGACGGATAACTTTTCTTCAAAAACTGAAAACGTTAGTATACACCCGGTACACCGGTATATAAACATTGTTTTACGATTAAAAAAACTATTCGGGGGAGGGGTTGCTATAAAGGGGGTGAATTGCTATATATAGCGAAATTTCCACAGAAAACTACCTATATATTGAAACTTCCACGGGGGGAAGTCCCACTGTATAGTCTTCCGAAAAAAGCATCACTATGTACATATGTAGTCAGTCTTCCAGGGGGAAATCTTATACCATCTAGCGAGACTTCCGAGGGAATGGCATGTATCGGGTGCATACCTAATCTTATAACAAACATCAATCATTTGAAAATTAAAGTTTGATTGATTAAGTATTAAGACAGAAAATTTAAAAAAATCGAATAACCCTGGCCCGGGTTTGCTTACCTACATGTAATTTTACCAACACTCTTAGCGAACACCCCTGCCACCTAGCGTTATAATGCGGCACTAAATTCAGACGACTTGTATTCGTCTTCATTGAATATGCTTCATTGTTTGCGTGATTGAATTAACTTTCGTAATAGAGATAATCATTTAAGAAACTGTATCAATTTAAAAGAAAGTAAAATGAAATTACAAGAATAAAGCAACATAGAAGTAAGGGCAAAATGAAGATGGATAAAAGTCAAAGTGAAATGTAATAAAGACGAATATGAAAACATTAAAGTGACATATAATTAAAATAATAACAAAGCATAAAGAAGTAGGCAGAATAAGAATAAAAGCAAGATGCATAGACTTTTGGCGGTAATTCCCTTCCATACTTCAGGAGTGTATATTTATGCCCAACATAACCAGAGACAGAGAGGAGAAGAAGAAAAAAGGAAATCCTAAAACCGATATAATTCCAATTCTTAAGGAGGGGGGCTAAGGTACCATGCAGTCGAGATCAAATTTTACTCAAGCCCTAGAGGGGCTTGAGTTATCTACAGAGATGCTAGATCATCGATTTACTCAGTTTAAAAACACAAAATTAAATTATTTTTGTAGACAAAAATATTTCTAGAAACAAAAATGAAGCTTATCTTAAAAATGTCTGTATATTTAAAGATATTAAGTGTTAAATATCGGATTCTTTTCTATGGCGAATGAGCAATGAGTGAAGCTCCGCAGCCGTAACAGTTTCTATAACAGAAATTTCGCGCTTTTCTTTGCGTAGGAATCTTAGGTAACTTTTTACAGTCGCCGACAAAGCATCCTTGGACGAGTCCACTGCAGATTCTGAAAGGGGACGCAGGTTATTCCATCGTCAACAAATTCTACAATGCATGGCAAAAAAATGTATGGGTGTACCCCCCAACTGAAATTGCTTTTCACTGGCCTGCAAATGATGTGTACAGTAAAATAATGCATGTAACAAAATCAATGTGAAATTCTCGTATTACATGTATCTTAAGCTTTGGTAACAGAACCTATGTTATAGGCCTAATAACTTCTTTTGGATTCGGGAATCTCGAGGATTCCATGTTTTGGAAACCACTTGGATACTATAAGGAAACTTGAAGATTCCTCTGGCTTCCGTGCCTTGGGTATGTATTGGACATTCCGCTCAGCTAGATGAACCCCATCTTCTCAAGCCACGGTCCGGAGTAGGAGAGGATCGTACATTTTGGCTGTGGTTTGCAACGATAAAGGAACCTGTAGTCACGTGGATTTTTTTTTGGAGCCCGGAGCCCCCCTCCCCCGCCCCTTCCACTTTGAAAAACTTTTCTACAAGACTGTAACAAGCTACTAAGTATTTATATATTGATGTATATATTGAATGCGATATACGTCATTAAGCAAAATATACGAAAAAACGTATAAAGTTTAAAGTAAACTATACTAAATGTTTACTTATAAAAAATATATTTCATAAAAGTAAGAAACGGCAACGTTA